CTATAGTATTCTCTATATCATTTGTTTGCAGTCAGAGCAGCGCCCTCTGGGATACAAAGTAATCAAGCATTACATTTGGCGGTGGTTACAGACGGTTACACCTTGGTTACACCACCTATTGTATGTTTCGACTTCAAAAAACATGGCGGCCACTAGTTTGGTGAGCCTCCACCGAGAGAGCTTAAACTACAGGGACAGTCACTCTATGCACTCAATTCTAGCTCGTTGGCAGGGGCGTGAAACTTGGCGGTCAAAACGGGATAATGATTTTTGCGCCATCTGCAGCTGATCCATAGTGTGCCGAACTAAACGTGTGACGTCATGCAATTCAAAATGCTGGAGGTGTTTGTTGCTCGTTGCGTGCAGGCCGCGTGCAGGAAGGTGCTCTTTTTTACCCAAATTTTTCAGCGTTTTGTTAGTATGTAGAATGTTTCCCTTGAAGCTGCAAGTGTTGCTAGTCTCGGTGATATTGTAGATAAATATATTATTTCACCAACATATATATCAAATAATAATTGCCTTGTTTAGAAAAACTTGCCTAACAAGCACTGAAAATCTATTCATAAATAATCAAACATTTTGAATGTGAACAATTAAAAAACTTTTGTTTTGGAATGTGTAATAAAAGAACTGTTTGTAATAAATAATATACTCTGGATATCTGAAGTTCATTTTGAAAATTTAAAAATATTAAGGACACTGTCCAAATTTGGTAAAATACTTTTTTTGGATATTTCACATACTTCCGTGCTACAAAAGATAAATATGATGATTTTTAATTAAATGTAGCCAAATTTGAATTGGTAAATGAATCATCTGATCAATAAATCCTGTAACAGTATTATTAATATTTACAGTTAAAATGTAATCCAATTTTACTACCTATACTGTAAAAATTCCGTCATCCGAAAAATTCAGTATTGTTCTATTCATTTGTAAGTTTCAATTAGGGAAATTTGTGGACTTTGTGGAAATATGGTCATGATGTGCAGTAACCAATCAAATAGCTATAGAAAATGAAAAATCTTCTATTGCTGCCTAAACAGAAGAAATCTGTGCCGATTATTTACTTTAAAGTTAGGAATATTCCCAACCCAAAGAAAATTGTCTCAAACTTCAGGGAAACAGGCCAAATTGAAATTGTTATATCTTCCACAAATTTTCATTTTATAAAAGATTTTTATGTAAACAATGCAAATTCCTCTTTAATCCTAGAACACTAAGCATATTTACTACTATGTAATTACTAATGGCAAGAAGGGGAACCTGAAATTAGTCGGCTTGATGTAGAGAGATTTGGCGAGAGCCAAAAACAATGGACCAGGAAACCTTAGAATGGAACTTTTAAAATACGGAGGCTCAAATATAATTGAATACCTTCAAAA